CTACCTTTCTCCACTCAGCAGAGTGTCTTTTCAATCCATGATTTAGGTTAGTGACAACAGTTATAGTTACGCAACAGCCACCGTCAGTCCACACCCTGCTGTAGTTAACACTTGTTCACATTTAAGGCAAACCTTTCTGACAATAATACAAACAGTATTTGTGATAAGTGTCAGTGATCAGGAATCTGTTTATCATTGGTTTTATGGTATTTGTTGTCATTTCAGTTAGCCCGTCACAACAAGGAACTGCAGGCTATGTTAAAGCCAGGGGGGACATATGGAGAGGGTGACGAGGCCCTGGAGTTCTATGCCAAACACACAGCTCAGATTGAGGTCAGTTGTTAGGTCTATGTCCGAGCTAGACTGTACCATTTTGGATCTGTCATTTTTGTTTTTCATTTAAAGTTTCACTGTGAAATACTGCCACAATGTATCACAAGACATCTGTGTTTGCTGCAGAGTATTGTGACATAGCTTGGCATCACAATTAACTTAAGACATGTGATGCTGTTTTTCTTGGCCTGCTTTTGAAGCTCTTCTTGTACCTTGACAGAATGACAAGCACCTTTGGCATGTTGGCACGTTTTCCACGTGTGCCCTCCTTGAAAAGAAGGAATGCTGATTGTTGACAACGTTCTTAACTTAGTTGTTGTTGGTTCAGTTTATCAGCCAGTTTTGTAAAGTTTTTTTAAAATTGCAAAATACAGTTTGCTTTAAAGAAGACATTATAGGGTCAAGATTTAGTTGCCTGCCACAGTGACAGAGAGTGGTGGCTGCTTCTGTGGTTGTGTCCAGATTGTACGACTGGATCGCACCATGGAGCAGATAGTCTTCCCTGTGCCCAACATCTGTGAGTTCCTCACCCAAGAGTCCAAGCTGCGTGTCTACTACACCACAGAGCGGGATGAGCAAGGCAGCAAGATCAATGACTTCTTCCTGCGCTCTGAGGACCTCTTTAATGAGATGAACTGGCAGAAGAAGCTGCGAGGTACTCAAGAGGCTACTGGTAACACAAACACGGTTCCCTGTGCGTCTTTCTCCTCAACTCTTTACCTTTATAGTTGGTTTACGTGTTGTTTTCTTGCATCCCTCCGGGCCTATGAGGACCACCCCTGAATAAGAAACAGATACTAAAGCCTCTTTCAGACACATGCACCATAAATGCTAGGTTAATTTGACATGCTGGGAACTGGAGACGAAAATTTCCTCGCACGTCACTCTTGCAACTCATCAACTCGAGATCTAGTATGATTTCCCAAACTCCTCCACGCCTTTATAGTCATCAAAAGCCACAACATGCAACACAATATACGCCTCAGGTCTCAGCCACCAAAGAAAGCCAAGTATAACAAAACAAACAAAAAATAAATCATAGATATAGAGCATGAGACAGATCTAACCCATAACTTTAAGTTTCAGTTCTGCCAACCACAAAACTCTCAGAGGCAAAAGCAGGTGTGCAGAAAGAGTCAAAACGTAACTGATTATGTATTAAATAAACTGGGCATTGTCATACTGAGTCAAACACGCTTAATTTAGAAAAATTGCACTTCATATATAAATAATAACAAAATGCCCTGGTTGATTGACAACTTGTAGGAATTGGGGACAATCCTGCTGCCAGTGCTGCTTGTAGTTGGCAGTCTATGTATAGGTAGTCAAAGTATTCACTTGTGTGGTCACCTTTAAAATCCATCATTAGCCAGCCTTAGTGAGACCACTCTCCTTCTTTGGTGTTCCTATTTTCCAAATGGCTACCGTTAGCAGCATTGCTGACGTCCTTGGCAAGTACAAGAAAGCCAAACCAATCTGTGATGGGCATCACATGGTTTTTCTATACCATAATACATTTTAAACAGTTTAAACAAAGACCACAAACTCACGCTGATAACTGTACCCAGCAAGTCTGCTGTTTCCATGTGTGAAAGGGGATGCACTCTGCCCCCTTAACCAACCCTGGAGGGATGGAAGTGGAAAGAGCATGTAAACCTCGATAAGCACTTAGCAAGTCATTTAAAAAAAAAAGTTGTATAAGTTAGTTAAGTGCTAAGATGGGATAACAAAATATGTTCTATAAAGATGTAAAATAATTCTTGTCCAGCCAGGAGAGTGTGCTGTCAGCTCTGTGAGTGTGATTGTATGTATGATAAACCCGATTGTTATGGGCAGTACACAAATTGTTGCACATTGCAAGCCCATTCACAAAATAGCCCTTGCTTTGGAGTTTACACATGGTGTTCTGTTTCCGGCCACTTTATTAGGTTCACCTGTTCAATTGCTTGTTAAAACAAATAGCTAATCAGCCAATCATATGGCAGCAACTCAATGCATGTGGAGGTGTAGACGAAGTCCAAAGCGAGCATCAGAATGGGGAAGAAAGGACCATGGCATGGTTTTTGGTGCTAGACGGGCTGGTCTGAGTATTTCAGAAACTGCTCTGATCTACTGGGATTTACTGGCAAATAGTGAATTTAAACCTAAAACGGTGGCTTTGCCAGTGTGGATGATTGATAAACTGGGGTTTGAGAGGTCACACAAGTGTAGAATGTTGTGTTTTTGTCTTAGGGGGGGGAAAAGCTATGGATGGAGCTTGAAGCCTGTCCTATCTTTAATTTGATGGGGGGTTTTTTGGAGGGGGGGGGGGTATTTCTGCTTTATTATAAGCAAAAAGGACAGTAAACAGGGAAGTTTACAAAATAGGAAAGAAGGCAGAGATATGCGATAAAAATACTTTGCTGGATTCACACCCAGGATGTTGTGCTTACATGTTGCATCTTAGCCAACTGACCTATCAGTGTGCTCCAAGTCTGTTCCATCTTAATAGGATTAATGGGTCAACCTGCTTCATCTACCTGCCAGTTTGAGGAATCTCATAATTCCTCTTTTAAACTAAACATTTCCACTAATCTTAAATACCATAGTCGTGCAGACCTGAACTGTTTGGAGTTTCCCTTTTAGCAGGGCAGGGCCCTGTTGACCCGTGGCTGATTCTCTGTCAGCTACTGCAGTGAAGTGACTGGTTTAAGAGCATGTTGAGAAGGAAGATTATCTATAATGTGATAGCACGTGATGATAACCTCTCTCCTATCTGAATGAATCAGTACAGCTGGAAACTATATTGTTCCGCTGGTGATAATCATGCCACGAATAAAGTGACTTCTGATGGTAAAAGTCCCCACCCACAGTCCTTCTTTTCTAATGAATAGTCTAGCTCAAAATAGGGTTGGCCATGATACTGATCTCCTGACCAAGGTCTAAGTAGGGTGTGTGTGTGTGTGTGTGTGTGTGTGTGTGTGTGTGTGTGTGCATGTATGCAAGTAAACATGTTTACTCTCCTTAAACTAGAAAATCATATCATGTTTGTGAAATCAGCCTGACAGTTGGTGTTCTGTACTTAAATAGATTTAGGTTTTGCCTGATTTTCTCCCTCTAAGTGAACTGTTTTGGTGCTTATGACTCTCTTTTTATAAATGTGTTTCACCCAAACCATTTCTTAAATCACTGACATGAGTCCCCACACAATGTTGGAGTGCTAAAAATCAAAGTCTAGATAATAAAACATGCTATTAGGGGTGGTGGTGGCACAATGGATAAGACTATGCCTTTGGTGTGAGAGACCTGGGTTCAGTGCCCCACTGTGACCCATCCACCAATGTGTCACCAAAGACTAGGGGTTAACCCTAGTTGCTCCAGAGGCGTGCAACCTCTGACATGTATAGCAATTGTAAGTCGCTTTGGATAAAAGCGTCAGCTCAATTAATAAATGTAAATAAATGTAATGTTGCTGTGGGGAAAAAAAATCAAATGAACTAAATCAAATTAAGTTGAATTATTATCTATGCATTTTGCTTCTCCTTGGTGTGAAACACTGATCAGTAATTGTGTGGTTTACTTTTACCATAAGCTAAAGTGTTGCATGAAATTATTAGATAAATTGTGCTTGTGTTTAATGTTTTGATTCCGCACTGTTCTCTCTGCAGTACATTGACCTGTGTTAATTTGATTCAATACCCTGTGCTCCAGCTCAGCCCATCCTGTACTGGTGCTCCAGGAACATGTCATTCTGGAGCAGCATCTCCTTCAACCTGGCTGTGCTCATGAACCTGCTCGTGGCCTTCTTCTACCCTCTGGAGGGCGTCCGTGGAGGTCTGTCTGCTAAAGTCTTCACCTTTTACACTTTCACTTTAACACTTGGAAAACAACAGATAACAGCAGTTTAGTGAGGCCCTGTCTGTGTTCTGTGTTTGTGTGTATGTGTACTGTGGTTAACACAATGAGTGTGACTATTGCAATGCAGGAAATGGGAGTGAGAGCCACAAACATTAACTGTTATGGGAAGGCCGTGGGTGGGGCAGGGGGCAGCGGGTGTACACTGTTGTTCTTTTCGTACATTACCAGAAACCTGTATGCAAAAGATTAACAAGAACAGAAATTGGACTATGGCTTGTTAAGGACTTTAATTTTTGGTCCGAACAACCATGCATGTTTACACCCTCCTGGTGCAGCTCTTTGCTGCCATGTAAAAAGAAACTTCCAGTGGCTCACGTTTGAATAATGGAAAGAATCTGGGGATGTGAAGTTTGGAAGAAGTGAGCTTACCAGACCTCCGTAGCCTGCTACTCATCTCTGCTTTAAGCTAGTGGCTCCAGGGTTCATTAACTGCTACAAGCGTAACTGTAGGCGACCGAGTTGCTTTTTAGGTAATGTAGGTGCCAGGTTTTGACAAGGAAGAGGAGCACGTGGAATAAAAAAAAGACTGTCTCTCTGGCTGTATATATCTCTTCACATGTATTTATAGTTGTTGGCATGCGTTTGGATCATCACATACTATAACATGCAGGACTTTACAGAATGCTGTGTGCTCTCGTGCTTGTGGTTTGGGTGTAGCCTCACACCTCCCTAACCAAAGTGAGTTTCACCACAAGTGGAGGTGTGATGAGAATGTAATCCTAGCTGAAGATTTGGATCTTGAACTGCAATGCCGTCACAAAAGACCAAGATGGATTAGTTCTTAATTAGGTCTTGACCTGTTTATTGATACTGTACCTTTTCTGCGCTTGACAATAACATGTTATCAGATTTCTAGTCTCGTTCTCACACTTCTTGGTTTGAGTCGTCTTTTTCTCCATATGTATCACTTCTGGTAATTAGTTATGTGTCTGCGTGTGTTTGCATGTGTACAGACTTGTGTAAATACTGTGGTCTACCCATAAGGCCAGAAACAACTTGCTTCTGAGATACCATTGAAAGTGACACCTCCGTGATAAGAAACAGATACACATACAACAAACAGTCAGATGTCAGACTTCTTACTTTACTCTCATGTAACCCTGTGTAACATTGCATCACTTAATTCACCTGTTATTTATGTCAAAGCTGCTGTAGACAATGTCACATATTTAAACTTAAACTCTCTTAATGGATCCACGTGTTTTGCCTGTGGCATTGGTACAGGAAAAGGATCAGTCGCTGCCGTTGTGTAAGACACATGCCCTTATATCCTCATCGTTTGACACAAACATTGAGTACCAAAACCACAACTGTACAATACAGCCTCTTGCACCAATAAAACAATGTTGGAAACATATACAGCATTTAAATCCAACATCAGACTGATTTTAAAAACATTTATTTTAATACTGAATCTGCGGAGCGCGTCATCTATTGCTTAGCTTCAGTATTTCAGGAAGAAAACATGGACCCGAGCTGTTTACTAGCAATAGGATTTTATAATAAATTGTCCTGACATTGATGCTGCGGTCATGTTAATTCAGAGTTACTGAAATTACCAGTTTCTGATTTGCAATCACCATCAGTATTTAAGTCGTAGTTATGACTGCGGGAAGCTCAGATAAATCCAACTTGTCCAAAATGTCTGAATACCAAATAAATCAGCCAAAGGCCATCATTCAAGTTAACAAATGAAATGTATTATTATTATTGTATAGTTATAGTAAGAAAACTATTATCTGTGGTCAGCTCTCAATATTTGGATTTCATTATACATTTTTCAACCAAAATTGTCGATCATGTGACAATCCTGAATAATTGTAGTATGTAATCTCAAATATAGTTTAATGAATATATACAGAGAATACAAAGACAAACAACTCCTCAACACTGATAGACAACAAACTGAATTCTTGGGTCAAAACAAACTATTTTACCAGAAATTACAAAGCCAGAAAAACAGAGGCTCTGCAGTTCCTTTATGAGATCTAAATATTTGACCTTGTGTCCCAAACCATATTAACCCCTGGTCAGTCAGGTGCTGTCATGTGGCCTAAATGTACAGATTTAATTTGGAGGAGATCTGATCCAGTGTTGGGTCACAAAGTGCGACAGATTACTTTAGAGATAAAATATTAATTCAGAGTGATAGGCTTTGGTTATCGCAACCAATTCCTGCATGACCGATTTAACTAAAAGGAATAAGTTGGAGACCGGAGCATGTTTTTACACTTTGTTTTGCGCTTTCAGTTTTGTGTTTGTTTTGCTGTCTCCTTTCCTTTTTTCTCAGTTCTCCTTGAGGGCAGTATTTGTGGGGATGTGAAAAGCCGCAGCTGTTAAGGCCTGCATTGTTCTAGTGCAGAGTAGCAGAGTGAAGACGCACATTGTGATTCGCATAAACTTTCAATTGTTCTGTCTGGGGTCAAACGGCGAGGTCCCTTTTGTTTGAACTTCCTCACAGCGATATAGAAGAGACAAAAAAAAGAGGTTGTTAGCTTAGCTCTAGAAACTCCATGTGGTTTTCAGTGTCAAAGGTCTTTGAGGGCTTAGCGGTGCACGCCAATCTGTGCAAGATGGGTAAAGCAACGTTTGTTTCAAACTGCAGCGAAAAAAAGAAAATCTCGGTTAGGATCCTCAGTAGTGAATATATAATGTCGACACAGATACATGCATTCTCACTCTGTGTCCTGGAATCATGTAAGCTTAGACCTCTCTTGTTGATATTCAGGTCAACTGCTTGCAAACCTTGAATAAACCAAACTACGCTGGTGAACTTAATTGGGGCATGACACACATTCACTGCAAATTTGCAGGTGGTATATACACAACTGAAACACTGTGAAATTCCCTTATTGTATCAGCTGCACACCTCACTCACACGTCTGTCAATGGAAGGTTAGTGGTTTGTTTGAAGAGAAGCTGTGGTTAGGAACTTTTCCCAGTAGCCACCACATGTGCATTATTCCTAGAAAAAAAGCTTCTTGAGTAACTCCAGGTTTCCATAGGTTAATGATGTGGTTGAAGCCAGGTGGGTGTTTGACTGCTGCTGGTCAACGCTTACCTGATCCCATACAAAGTGCCAGAGCCTGTTCTCCGTCACAGGCGCTGCTAGAATGTGACCCTGCAGGTAGAAGCAGACACCAGAGCAATAGCTCAGACACTTTCCAACAATAAGATAAACTTAGCTAAGTAAAGTAAAATCTCCGTTTTCATCATTATGGCAAACAGGCTTTACGTAGAATCTACTTTGAAGTGTAAATGGTTTAGTGTAAAGGTCAGCCTATCTTCTAATAGCTGTAGAGTAAGCAAGTCAGAGAGATGAATGGTCTTAGACTGTAGGCGTGTGACGTACAAGCTGCTGTGTCTCAGTTGGCTGCCAAGTCCAAGCGCCCAGGCGGCCTATTACGTTGCAGTGCCCAGGACCATCCCTGATGAATTTAGCTGGAGCCAAGTGTATTTTTAGCCAAGCGGGGGAGTTATGTAACGAGTACCTGTCATGTGATCAGTACACAGAGAGGCGAGAAGAAGGAGGCCTCAGAAGGGAGGGGATGGAGGGAGAGGTCCGGAGTCGTGTTGAAATTCTGACTGACTGCATTTCTGACTTGATAAATGTATTTGTGTGTTAAGAGGAATTAGATTAAAACATTGGCAAACTGATGCAGCCTTTCTGCTACATGCTGACCAGGATTTGGCACGGAGCTGTTGCCTGCTGACCTCATGATAACAATTTGCTGCTCTGCAATGACTGATGTAGAGTACATAACACACACACACACACACACACACACTCACTCACTCACTCACTCACTCACTCACTCTCACACACACAGGCAAAGAGCTCTTTTTATAATATATAATTCCAAAACTATTGGATTCGTGTTTGAAACCACTGGGAACTTCCTTCACTATGATTCACAAATGGTAGATAAGTCAGCTTCAGTTTCTCCACCTGGTATCCAAATTGGTCATTATATTTCTATGTCATGGCGACACATAACTCAAATGTGACTCCAGAAGTTGTGTTTTTGTAGTTGTGATGAGCTCAAAGGAGAGAAGAGAAGCGTGAGACCTGAAATCTTGTGCCTTCTCCGGAAGACACTCTTGTCATGACAAGAAATTTCCAAACGCATATTTATTTATAAGTGAGTAAAGATGAAAGAAGGCCTTGGTGAAAAGTGCTCAGCTTACTTTTGCTGCACCTAACACTTTGCGTGCGTGTCGATGTCACAATTCTTTCTGAATATGCAAAGAAGATATTGGAGTGAAGGTGTTGGGATGTTTAGTTACATTTTCAGACAAAAAAAAGCTATTTACAACCTTTTTGTTGCATTTGAGATATTAAAAATCCTTAAAGCCATGTGTACGTGTGTTTCACAGTTGACATGTGACATGTCTCACCCCTGATTAAATGAATTAGTCTCTTGTGATGGTAAAAAGAGAACAATACACACATTTTATTTAAAATAGCTGGCTACATCAATTATAATTGAATGGCTCACACCTCACCCTAATGTGACCGCCCTCCTCCTCAGGTACCCTGGAGCCCCATCTGTCTGCCTTGCTGTGGATGGCCATGCTGCTTTCTCTGGCTATAGTCATCGTCTTGCCTCAGCCTCACGGCATCCGGGCGCTCATTGCTTCCACCATTCTACGTCTGATCTTCTCTGTAGGCCTGGAGCCCACGTTGCTCCTGCTGGGGGGTTTCAATGTAAGTGTGCATCAGTGAAAGGCACTTATGCAGAACCCATGTGCAATGTCACATACAGTATAGATTCTTTATTACCCAGTAGGTGGACTGGAAGTTGCCTGTCCAAAAGGTGCAGTCACATGCCAAACATTAACTAAACATTAACCTAATGATTCAGGACTTGCGTGTACACCGTGCAGGAACACATCAATCCTTCAAACTGATTTCACATTCAAGTTGGCATGTAGACACATTGATTTAACAGCTGAGGTAGCATTAATAGAACAGCAGCTAATAGAAATGTTACTCATAGCTGTTTGGTGTTGACACAAGAAACAGGGAGATTCCACACCGCTGTGGTGGTCAACCACATCCACTTTATTTTTAGTGGTCTAAGCATTTGAAAACATACACAAATACATACTAATACTGCTATGTACGCCTTCCCTTCTCAGTTTAAACATTCTGTGTGCTATCGTGACATGTTGCTGTCTATACCTGTTCTCTTTGTGGTGTCCATTGTTCTGCAGTTATGCAATAAGGTCATCTTCCTGATGAGCTTCGTTGGGAACCGCGGAACGTTCACGCGTGGCTACATAGCCATGATCATGGATGTGGAGTTCCTGTACCACTTGCTCTACCTGATTATCTGCAGCCTGGGGGTCTTCGTCCATGTCTTCTTTTACAGCCTGCTAGTATGCCAGCAACCATATATACAATTTACACACATGAACACAGACACCCTAGATAGTGAAATACTAACAATAATGTCCAGCTTATGGTGAATAGAAATATAGACATCATAGTGTACAATTTTTCATTTTGCACTGTAACACAGAGGAACATGAGCATGCTCACATTTGCACTCCACATCTCTGAATCCTTCCTCTTTCCAGCTCTTTGATCTGGTTTACCGAGAAGAGACATTGCTGAACGTAATAAAGAGTGTGACCCGCAATGGCCGTTCCATTGTTCTGACAGCCGTGCTGGCCCTTATCCTCGTCTACCTCTTCTCCATTGTGGGCTATATCTTCTTCAAAGACGATTTCATTTTGGCTGTCGACAGGATACCCAACAAAACACTAGGTATGTCCCTTAGCAGGACGAACATAAGTTACTCCCTGACCCAGACAGCACAAACACACATGCTGGATGTCTGTTAAAAATACGTGTAGTCAAAGTGAAGCTAAGGAATGCGAAAAGTGTGTTCTGTTTAATAACTGTGCTTACCTTGCTTTTATCATCACCAACAATCTGTGCATATGAAGGATGTTACCATTAATATGCATAGTGAACACATAATTTTACAAAGTGTGAAAACAAATTGTGCAGTTGCGTAATGTCTCGTGCTCCCATTTGAACAGAACATGCAGCCAGTATGGTGGGAGAGTTCTTCTCTAGCGGAGTGTGCCAGAAAGAAAATGGGGAGAACTGTTCATCAGAGGCCGTGATGGATGGTAGGTTGACAAAAGTGAAAGGTAACTTTCTTTGTAAATGTGTGTGTGTGTGTGTGTGTGTGTGTGTGAGAGAGAGACTGGGGTGGGCAACATGGTGTGACTGCAAGTGCAAGCATGCATGTGTGAGAGTGTAAAGGTCTTTATGTCCTCGCAGACGTCTGACTCAGTCAGAGGAAATTCGTCCCACTGAGCTGTAAATCTGGGCGGTCGGTTGGTCATGGGATTAGACTGGTTGGACTGACTGGGAGCAACACCAGAGGTTTATACTCCTTGTCTGTCTCAAGGGACAGAGCCTAAGACCTGATGTAGGGGCCTACAGTTGAAAGGTCAGGGATTAATTAGCATCAGGTACAAGCAAGTCAGTGGTGCATTGATGGTGCCGAGAGTTTCTCACCACCAACAACAAGTTCTTGCAAACCTACTGACCTTGATGGAGAAAAGCCTCCAATCAAAGATGAACATGTGCGGCGCCTTAAAATTGATCAGCCGACCATGTCGAATCCTCAAGCTGCTTGGGGCTTGACCTTGCCCAGGTCGTCCCTGTCCTACTACTACTACTACTACTAGGCTGTCTGGCTAATGATGTTAGTGTGGTGACTTGTTTTTTGTGGCTAGTTAAGTAAATTCTTGTTATGCCCCCACACACCCCTGATTGGGAATGAAACAAGACTTAAAAAGCATATTGTGTCATTGTATATTGGATCTGAGGTTTTCTATTTTTTGGGTAGCTGTTATCTTAGTGACGACTCTTTTTTATGGAATTAGGGTTAAAGGCCTTGTTGACTGTTGGTAACACTGCATCTTACAGAGCAGACAAACCTTTGCATTCAGCCTATACAAACAATGACTATCATGACAGTATTTCTGTGTCTCCGTAGCTTCCCTTGCCATCCAGCCATCAGCGGTGGTGATCGAGGACAAGGAGCGAACATGTGACTCCCTGCTCATGTGCATTGTCACAGTATTGAGTCACGGCCTCAGGAGTGGAGGAGGTGTTGGGGACGTCCTGCGGAAGCCATCCAAAGAGGTACAATGTAATATAGACACTGCAGGGCCTATTATCGGGAAACTCAGAGAGGGTCATGTTTGGAATAAATAAAATATCCTTGAGCAAAGCCTCAATTCTTCAAGCTCCCCTCCTTTCAAAATACAGCTCTGCCCCACCTTGTTTTCTACTGCAGGTAAAAAAAATATTTGAATGTGCCTCAGAGAGTACACATACAGAAGTACCGTGCACACATGTATCAGCTACTCAAGTGGTCTTTCCTGAGGTTAACCTTGAGAACAACACTGTTGCTGCGTTGTTACTCGAGCGATCAGGTTCATTAGGGGTTGAGTTGATTACTGCAGCCTTTTTGTTTCTCGGCACCGGGCAGTACTTCAGTTTTTTACATCATCTGCCCCAGATTACCAGGACTGAATTATGTAATCCCTGCCTCCGTGACCTTGAATCCTTCCCAAGTATTATCACATCAGTCAGCTAGACAGAGTCTGCCATTGGTATAAAATGTGTTAATCCCCTGAAGCAGCCATGCCTTGCTAAACACACACAGAGAACTCATCTTTCATATAGACCAGGACACGGCCTCATGATTTTTTTTTAAGTAGCAGTGTGAGGACATAAAAACTCATTTTTGTGTATATTTCTTTATTATATTCTGATATATTGTTCTGTATGTACATGTCCTGTAAAACTATAAAAAAAAAATCTAAATGAAATAACAAAGTTTGCCTCGTTCTAGCAAAGATTACATTATCATGAAAATGATGAAATCTCGACTAGTACATATTTGTGTGTTTGGCATTACAAATGCGAAATAAGAGCAACACATCAGATACACACACGCTCGTCCAATCTGGCTTTTTACATCGCAAGCGATTCAACCAGACAAACTCTGTAGAGAAAAATAGAAAAATAAAAACCAGAAAGAAAATTGATTGTTTGATTGTTGCATCATACTCTCTTGTCTGTGAGCAATTACAAATCATTTTAACTGCCAAAGGAAAGCCCCTTCTTCTGAAGTGGTTGCTTCCCTGACGCACTTGTGCTGCTGTTAGTTTCTGACACAGTTTCTCATTAGATACCATTTAGGGCCACTTTGCTGGCTTTTGCCTTGATCTGCTAAACTCGGTCTTGTGAGGAACCACCTGATTTGGGATCTTTCTCCCATTATCCTTGCATCCTGCAGAGTCGAAATTAGTTTGTCAAGGGCGCGATCTGACAGCAGGTTAAAGGGGTGGACATGGTGCGAAAGAACCGCTGACCCATCAGCTGATTCAGTCATCCTTAACATTAACTGTCTGCATTCTTCAAATGCAGCTCCTCCGTGTGTTGTCGTCTGAGTTGTCTACAAAGCTTTTGTCAAATTACACATTTATCATTCATGGAGATTATGTTACACCCTGAAATTGAGTCCTGTTAAATGAAAGAAATATTTTTTTTTGTTTTGTATTTCTGATAGTGATAGTAGATTAACAGACAAGACATGCATGGATACAGAGAGGAAGAGGAGGGACGACATGCAACAGTTATTATTTTTTTTATTTTATAATTTTTTTTATTAAATTAAATAAAATTGTTATTTTTTAAATAATTCAAATTACAATCATTATTATGTCCTATATAAATGTTCTGTATACCTATATCGCTGTCTATCTAGACTCATATGGGACATATGTCTAATCTAATTAAGCAGTAGCATTTGTGACTCACTTAATACATACCGTTTGTGTCAGCATTTAATACACTTTCTCACACTCACACCTCTATTATTTCTCACATTTGAAGTTTATGTACAGTGTTATATGCTGTGGTTACATAGCCCTAGTTTTTGTTGAACTTTTACTATTGAACCTATGTGTATTTACATGTTAATAGACCCAGACTATTTCAAGCATAGTCTTGAGTAGTAAATATAAAAATTAACAAAGGTTTTACAATAAATAGAAATGTTATTAATTAGTAATTGAACAAACTCCAAAACCCTGCACAAATTTGGGAGAATTAATTACTCCCTATAGTGGGACAAAGTTGTGTTCAAATCAATTATTGGCTATTTTATGCAGTTTTTTGTTTTATTGTTGCACAGAAAGGCAAGGGCAAGGAGCAAAATGGAGTTTAGATTGAGATATAAAGTGTAATGTATCACGGTACCCCCCCCCCCCTTCGGCCTTAAAGTTGTGGTCCACAATTTATTGGATTATAGTAAACTTGGACATAATTAACACTGATAACAATATGCAGTGCACGTCAAACACATACATTAAATTGAATGACATCAAAGTGGATGGAGAAAACTGATATGAGATATTAAAGGGCATTTATGTTTTACTGAGATAAAAATTTTATTTAATTAACTCTTACTTCAAAAGTATGTAACATATTTGACCCAATAAGCAAAACAAATTAATGGTTGGCTAATTCCATGTGTAAAAAAAAAAAAAAAAAAAAAAAAGAGAAAGAGAGAAGAAGTTCCTTGTAAGAAGTGTAGTGGGCTGCAGCATGCCTTAAGAGGCTCTCTCTGAGAATAAGATATGCTGTACTGGTAGGCCAAAGAGGTTACTTAGAGGACTTTCATAACTTCAAACATATCAGAAAAAGCATTAATGATGCTTATCAAGGATGAAGACAAGCTTGTGCACCATCACAACATGTGTTAAATCTACAGCTTGAACCATAGACTGAAGACATGACTCACTTATATAGACCTCAGTTAGTTTGTCTTTCATGTGAATTCACTGTACTGTTTCAGTTCGGGTTGTGTTTGACACACAAGGATGGTATATGCACCACTGCATAGTGCCCTGTATGCAAAGAGGGCGCTATGAGTCACTCCGATGTGTTTCCAGTGATGGCAGTAAAATAAAATATAAATAGGCTCCATAGCCCAACATAGCCCCCCCTCCCACCTCTAGTTTAGATACAACTTGACATCTGGTGAATTTTAGCCATTAAACTAAAATGTCACATCTCAAATGTTAGATTTACAATAGTTTTCACATATTATTTTGTTTTCAAAATTAC